GAGTTATTTTGTGACAACCAAAGTGCGATTCATCTTGGTAAGAATTCATCTTTTCATTTTAGATCGAAACACATTGATGTTAAATATCATTGGATAAGGGATGTTCTAGATGAGAAGTTGTTGGAACTTGAGAAAATCCATACGGACCATAATGGTTCCGATATGACGATGAAGACTCTATCAAGGGAGAAGCTTAAACATTGCAGATTTATAGCAGGGATGATGAAACCCTCCACATCGTCGTGAGGGGGAGATTTGTTGGCTAGGTTCACTCCCATATGGAGGAAGCCTAATGAATTGCAAGCCCAATGAATTGCAAGCCCAAGGCTTGAGCCCATATGTCTATTCATATGGAGAAATAGGGTTTCTCACTATTATTATGTTGTGGCCGCAAAAATAACGTTTTTTGAGAGACACGATAACAAAAGAGAAAGAGAGCAGAAAATCTGGATTTGAGGATATATCTGATGCTAACGTCGGAGGTCGTTTCGTGGCCCGATTGATATGAAATTTTGTCAGCGTGTTCGTGCCGCATTCTTCTCGAATCTAATCGGTTTGATTTTCAGTTGAAGCTCCCTACATCAGGTTTTCGTGGGTTGCACCAAAAGTGCTTTTTTTGTGAGATTTATCCTTTTATCTTTTGTGAAGTTCATGTCTATTGTCAAGAATGATGTTCTTGATGTTTTTGCTGCTATGTACCTCTTGTATTTACTAGAGAAGAACTTTGTTCACCTAGTTTTGCTGATAGTGAAAATTTTTGGGTAGACTCCAGTCTCGTGGTTTTTGATCTCCTCACGCCGAAGAGGTTTTCCACGTAAAAAATCGCCTTGTGTTTGCGTCTTGGTATTTATATTTCTCGATTTAGTTGTTTCCTATTAGGTTTGCACAAGAGGAGAGATTATTTTATTTCGTTGCGCTAATTTAATATTATTCAGATTGTTATTGTTCTCCCAACATAAGCTCCTCTAGTTCTAGATTCTCGGGTATTGTATTGTTTTTCAATCAGAGAATCGTGAGACAGTTTCTGATGAAAATGCTAATGACTGGATGGTCTTAAATCTGTCGTTCTCAGGCCTTGAAACTTCTTATTTTGCTTCAGCTTTACGTATGTTCTCTTCCTTACTTATGTAATGTCGAATCGATGAATTTCAAGCCGCCTCGGTTTTGATCAAATGTGCAGCTTCAGCATGAGACCTACTCACTGAACGAGCACCTCTCGGTCACCAGTGGCCAGGGGTGAGCGACCCCATGAACCGAGCAAGCTTGGTTTGAAAGCGAGCCCCATGAATGAGACTGCGCTTGTGTTGGGGTTTCACCAGCTTGAAGACCACGAGAATAAGTCCGCACCCCGTGCGTTCAACCTATTACGGACGCCGAAGGGAAAAGAAGTGAAGAAGAATTGAAGAATCAATCCATAGCAAAGGTGACAACTTTTGAAATTGTAGCTGCTGATGGAGTTTGCTAAGACAACCTTTTTCTGTGTTGTAGCCTCCCTTGGGTAAATGCATCACCTTTGATGCTGCCTAGAAAAGATAAAGGCAGAGGCAAGCGCATGGCCCCAAATTTGACCACTTTGAATTTGGAGCATTTGACCAAAAAAAGGAAAGAGACGTGATCTTGGGAGGTGTCATCTAGGGCTATGGATGGATATACAAAGTGCATACGCAACACACGTGCAAGTTTCAACTTTGATCTTTGAAGTGTACAAATTTTTCAAGTCATTACGGGGGTGTGGAGGGAACAGAACTCGAAAGATAAAGGAAAGAAAATCACAGATGGGTTAAGAGAAGTGCGACGAGAAATTGAACAAAGATTTCTCCAAAATCAATAGGATATATGTGCAAATCGCGCGCAGAAGTCGGGTAGTTCAGTGCAAATTTGTTGGTGTTATATAACATTCTTCAATGCGCGATTTTGGCGAATTGGTTTCCTCATCGAAAGTTTTAAGTCGTTAGAAAATATACACGTTAAAAATGTGATCTTCAAAAACACAAACTCTTAGAAAAATGGACAACCAAATTATGATGTATTCTATGCGTTTGTTGCGCTTAATGGGTTAGGTTGCAAAGACTGATGGTGTTGTAATGCACTAGTTATTCCATTCTTATGAAAAAGGGGAAAGATTGCTATTGCATCGCTTGGTTTGATGTCGGAGTAGAGATGAAATATTCGAATGCTATACCGCTCTCGATCTTTATTGTCTCTCCTGCCACCGGCGTTGATGAGCTAGTGAACAATCATTAGTAGGTGGCAATCGGCGGTAAGTCGCAAGTGGTCCTCCAATCATCGTTTAGTAGAGAGAGAGACGAGTATCTTGGATAATCACGCAAAATGGCAATCCATTGGGTCTCCACAAGATCTTTCTCATTCGATGTAGAACTCAATGTGCTACGTTGACGGCGCTAATTAGTTAAATGTAAACGTTCTTTTCGCGTGGATGAATGGTATTACACTGACATACCTCTTCGATATAAATATTGTGAAAAACACTTGGTACTTTTCCATTCTTCGTGATTCTATGGGTGGCGTCCGTCCTTTCCACGACTTCATATCATTCATTCAACGTTCTTTTGTAATCATATAGGAAGTCTTGCTTGTAATTCGTTCTATTGAAGGACAGTGACTCGTAAGTCACGGCCACACAGTGGGCCCAGAGACTTGCTTCGTCCACGGTTAACTTTGGATCGGAGAGCGCCGGTGACGGCGACCCGCCACGTCATGGCTGCCGCCGCTTCGCAATCGCAGACCCCCCGGCCGCCCCGAACAGCCGTGCGGCTTTGAAGTCACTCTGCGGTGGTCAACCCCCCTCGAGCGGCCCCGTCGTCGCAAGGTGGTCTCGGGCTAGTGGCAGCGGTCGCCGGGCCTCATAAAAGTCTCTCTACGCTTTCATTTTCCTCTGGCCGTTTAAATTCGATGACATGACGGCCATGCGGCACCGTACAAGCCACGGTAACACGCCGAATGTGCAAACAAAAGATGCGGCGCGTGCTTCTAGATCGGCAGGACTCGAGATTCCGGCGGTCAGCTCAGCATTCCGAGCGGTCAAATTCAACGGAAGGAAGCACGACGGACCATTCTCGAATGGTCAAACGTTAAACAGGAGGAGGCACGACAACCATTTTGGGGCCAAAACCAAGTAGACAGACAGAACCATTTTCTATTCTTGGCCAAAGAGTACGAGGACCACTCACCATTTCTGTCGTTTCTCTTGCGCCCACTGTAATTATCCTGCTATTTTAGCAGCTAAAATTCAAGGAAGAGGAGAAGAACTCGTCCTGCTAAGAGCCCCTACCACGTTAATATAATGGAAAAACCAACCAGTTGTCAAGTTAAATACATCCACAGATTCATCATGGCACATCCAGATCAGAATCTTGGTCTTGTTCACGCGTTCCTACGACGACGACAGCGACTCCATAAATAGTGAAAACTAATATTCAGGCACCGTCTCTGGTGCTCGCCACACGCCCCCCTCAATCAGTGACAGAGAGAGAGAGAGAGAGAGAGAGAGAGAGAGAGAGAGAGAGAGAGAGAGAGAGAGAGGGAGATGGGGAACTGGCTGGGGAAGAAACCGCAGGTGCACCCTGGAGCGCAACCGATCCCCGGCGGCGTACGAGTTAAGGTGCGGATGACGCGGGCGCAGCTCAGGGAGTTGATGTCCCGAGTCGATCTGAGCGAAGGCGGCGTGGAACTCGGCCCCTTGATCCTGCGGGAGTGCTTGGAAGGTAGGCTGCCCGCCCCGTCGTCCCTGGCGGCGGCAAACATGAAAAGAAGTTAAGTACCATCGTCGAAGAAACTTGAAAGTTCGAAACTCCGGCATCCCAAATAAGAAATGAAGATCAGTACATATGAATAGGTGCTTTGTAGTGAGCTTCTAGGATTCTTTTTCCTTGTTTATAATTCGTTGTAGCTGTACTGGTAGATTCAATGTTTTTGGCTGTGTAATGGATGGTGGATGCTGCATATTGAAACTTTGATGAACGAAACTCTGATATCTTTCATTCAATCATCAACACCAGAAGCATACGCAGCTGATGTTGGATCTGACTAAATCTTCATTGAGTTTCCCCCCCTTACCCTATTCCCATCGAAGGGATATCGGCAAGACGCGGATCCTGATAGATTGATTCGCCGTAAGCGCCTTTTCAGAACCTGAATATTCGAGTTCTTAGGACACCCTTTTATCGACTTCCACACTCTCGGAGACCTATCTGACTCGTGCGATACGGTTTTCGAGCTCGAGAGGGATTGCATCATTTGCGTGATTCTCGCCTTCCGTTTGCGGATGCATAGTGAAAGTGTGCCCCCGTGGCGAAAGCTTCTAGGGCCTGCAGTATTACATTCTGACGTCGCGATGGCTCCTGATCGAAGAGGCTCGAGAATAACAAGTTTCGATCCACTGGGTTGGCAAACCGAAAATCAGATGCAAAAGTATGCTAGGAACTTGCTCTTGAGTTTGATGGACATGGGGAAGTTTGATTATTCTAAGAAATAGAACGAAGACAGATCTAAAAGATAGAGGGAAAAAGAGAAACGGGCGGGCCTGGGCAAGCCATCCCCATCTTACGAGCATTCGGCCCAACTTGGCCCGGCCAAGCCCGCTTAGGCCCGATCAACTCTATGCGAAGCATTTGACAGTATTCACGTCATTTTTTTCATGAAGATAATGACATAAACAGTTCTTGAACTTTGGCACAATATGTAGCGTGGTCCCTAAACTTTATAGTCTACAAATTTTTAATTTGTTCAGTGTAATCTCTGAACTTGAATTAATGAAAGGACCATATTGAACATTTTCATATAGTTCAGTGACTAAATTGAACATGTACCAAAAGTTCATTAAACATATTGAATAAATTAAAAGTTCATGGACCACATTGCATATTGGGTTAAAGTTTATGGACTACATTAAACAAATTGAAAGTTCAGGTACCACGTTAAATATTAATCTAAAGTTGAGAAAATGTTGGTGCCATTTTGGCTTTTTCATATACGTAGTTGTTGCTTCTCGTGCGGCATTCAGAAATGGCAATTACCAGCTCGTCACATTCCATTTCTTCACATGCCTCACGATGACAGATGTTAGCTAAGCTAAGACATCATCGGCTACTTTCGTGCCATTCACCCGACCAAATGCCCAATTCATGTTCCTCGCTCTCCAGCGCGCGACCGTTGGTTGTTCCCGCCTCAAGCAGTCCCTGTTCCATCACCTCGCGATACAGAGCAGCCTCGGTTTCGAGTCGTTCGCGGCCCAGACACTCCACAATCGACTCGAAAGATGCTCTTCCGTGAGAGAGCTCAAGGCGATCCATGCCCAGATAATCTTTCGCGGCCTGGCCGATGAGATTCTCTTGCTCGGGAAGCTTATCTCCTTCTGCGCCGTCGACGATGCCGGTGATCTCGCGTATGCTCGGTACCTGTTTGACAAAATGCGGGAACCCAATAGGTTCATGTATAATAGCCTGATAAGGGGTTACTCGAACAGTGAGGACCCTTTGGAGGCCCTTCTCTTGTACCGCCGAATGATTGGTTCGGGCATTTCGCCGAACGAATTCACCTTTCCTTTTGTTCTGAAGGCTTGCGCCGGTGAATCGTTGTACTGGGTTTCGGTTCTTGTTCACGGTCAGGCTGTTAAGTTGGGATTTGAGTTTCAAGTTTGTGTGCAGAACGCTCTGATCACGGTGTACCTATCCTGTGGATTGGTAGGGGATGCCAGGAAACTGTTTGATGTAATAGCTGACAGGACATTAGTTTCTTGGAATTTGATGATTGGTGGATATTCTAAGATTGGTTGCTCCAGGGAAGCTTTTAGATTGTTTGGAGAGATGAGGAAATTGGGGTTGCAGATAGACGAGTTTACACTGGCTAGTCTAATTATAGTTTCTTCCCAAACTGGTCAGTTGGATTTGGGAAAGTCTGTGCATCTCTACATCGAGGTTACCGGTGTTGAAGTTGATGTCATCGTGAGCAATTCTCTATTGGACATGTATGCAAAGTGCGGGGATTTGCGTTCGGCTGAAGCAGTTTTCAACAAAATACCCAAAAAGGATGTTGTTTCCTGGACTACCATGGTGAATGCCTATGCAAACCACGGTTCCCTCGCGATGGCCCAACAATGTTTTGATCAGATGCCAAAGAAGAATGTGGTCTCTTGGAACTCGCTAATCTCATCTTATGTTCAATTCGGTCGATGCAAGGAAGCTTTGAACCTCTTCCGCAGGATGTGTGGCTCAAGAGTCGTCCCAGATGAAACTACACTTATTGCAGTTCTTTCAGCATGTAGTCACATTGGTGATGCGGCCACGGGAAAAGAAATATACATTTACATATCCAAATCCGGTATCAGACCTAGCGTTACCCTTTCTAATGCCTTGATGACCATGTTTGGAAAATGCGGTGCAGTTCGAATTGCTGTCGATATCTTTAAAAAGATGAAGCCAAGGAACTTGGTGTCATGGAATGTAGCAATTGGGATCCTCGCATTGCACGGATGTGGGGTAGAAGCGATCAAGCTCTTTGAGGACATGGAAGCTTCCGGAATTGTCCCCAACGAGATTACCTTCACAGGACTGCTCTCTGCTTGCAGTCATAGTGGTCTTATCGAAATGGGAAGATATTACTTTCAAAGGATGAGTTCTGCTTATGGCATATCGCCTGAAATAGAGCATTATGCTTGCCTAATCGATCTACTTGGGCGTGGAGGTTTCTTAGAAGAAGCGCTCGGGCTGATCGGAAATATGCCGATGAGACCTGATATCGTGACATGGGGTGCGCTGTTAGCCGCATGTAGGACTCATCACTACTGGGAAATTGGGAAATCCATTCTGAAGCAGCTGTTGGAGCTCTTGCCTCATAGTTCGGGGCTTTGCGTGCTTTTGTCGAACCTTTATGCCGAAGCCAGAAGATGGGACGATGCGAGGAAGATAAGGAAGATAATGAACGAAAGCGGTATCGCTAAATGCAGGGCCATTAGCTTCGTCGAGATTGATGGTAATGTCTACGAATTCATGGTTGATGACAAGAGAGGTGAAATGTCAAGCAGCTTGTTCTTGGTGCTGGACCAATTAACTGATCATTTGAAATTTGAGGGCTGCCCATGCAACCTCTCTGGTGCATACTGGGAGGCAGAGGATGTACAGTGATCTCCCCATTCTTTTACTGTATCAAGAAATTTCTGCAAGAAAGGAATGCAAATCTGCATGATGTGAATTTGTGTTTTGAGTTAATTCCTTTGATTAAGTCCACCTAAATACAGCTTTAGGTTCCGGTCGATGCTCGGCTCGGCATTTCTATGGTTAAACTTTAAGTTCTTTTGTTCAACCAAAGAGGAAAAGAAACAAAGGAATGCAAAGAGTGAATTGCACTTAGGGAAGCAAAAAGCTGAGGCTCTATAGTAGGGGTGACCAATTCCCGGTCCGGTCAGGTCCCACTCGGGACGGATTGGACCGGCAGGTCCTGGGACCGGTCCAACCAATATGGTCCAATGAAGCATTCGCATCTCGGAAACGAGCAAACTAGAAGCCAAAACATCCGGCACAGAAGGACGGGACCATAACAATGCAAACTAGAAGCCAAAACATTGATCTACATCTCAACTACTAAAATGAAGCATTCACATCTCGAAAATGAGCCATCGAAATCTAAGAAAAAGCAAAGACAACAGAAAGTTGAACGAGAAAAACTTACTGACTACAAGGAAAGGGCCATTTGAGATTGAGAGTTGAGCGATAGCCGAGAGGGATGTCTAAGAGTTGAGTGAGAGCCAAGTTGTGGAAAGAGTGAAGAGTGAAAGAGAGAGGCATGAGAGGCGAGAGGGAAAAAGTGAAGAGCGTCGTCTTACCCTGGAATCGGGAACTGGTCCGACCAGACACCAGATCCAAAAATAGAAACTTGGAACCGGACCGGCACGTCCTAAAACTGACCGGTTCAATCTGGTCCGAGCTGTTCCCAGTTCGATTAGTCCATCTTGCTCACCCTTACTCTATACCATACTTCCGTTGCCTTTTTTTTTTTTTTATGTCTAAGGGACTTTTGAGAACATTGTTTAAATGTGATACCCACCTTCATTATTAGGTAACTCTCTGACTTATTATTTTAGCAAAAAAAAAAAACCTCTTTGAGTTATTAAAAGTTTACTCAATCGCGTGTAAGCATTGCCTTGTAGGCGCAAGACATGATGTAATTATATAATCACCTTAATGAGATAATTGAAAATCTAGAAAAAGAAAAATTGAAGAGGAATTCGTGTCATAGTTAGAGTTGACGATCAATGTCACAATACCATGTTAGACAACTCGTTCTTCACAAAACTTACGCCACTAAAACACGACGGACGGACACCTAATTATTAAGGGTAATTTCTTTTTTGTATCCGAGTTTACTTGCCCAGATTGATCGCCATCACTGCGTGCGTACCAATCGGTCCATAGGGAGGGTCCCTTAATTAGGGGATGTGATAAACTTGGTCCAATAAATTCCAATCTACGCTCGAATTTTCCACGGTCAGGGGCGGTCGATGGTGCCCACCAACCTTCCTTTCCTCGACCACCCAGTTCGCTTATACAATGCATGAACCACATTTCATGCCAAGAAGTTATGAATTGTCCCGACATGACCCATCGATCGCCTCACCCGCATTATATTCATAGGGATCCCATCTCATCCCATCCCGTGCCACCCTCCAAGCGAGCAGTAGCCAAACCCCATCTTTCATGCGGAAGCGACGTTCCGTCGGTCGGCTTGTCCCTGTCCTCTGTTCCTGTTCCTGAACCGAACCCATACCAACTTCACGCCAACGGACGAGGCACGACCCGAGCCAAGAAAAACAAAAGAAAGAAACAAGATAGAAATTTTTTATCACGACCGACGAGTGGGATCTTGGGGCCGCTATTTTAAAGAACTGACACCCACATCTTCGATCCGTGCAGTGCATCTGTACAGTCGCATGATGCAAGATTCAAACATCACACTACAAAAAAACACCGGATTAGCGACGGAATTTGCGACGAAAAATGTGGAAAAATCCGTCGCAAATCGAATTTGCGACGGATTTTGCAACGGAAAAAATTCCGTCGCTACTAGGTCGTCGCAAATTTTTGTGACGGAAAATTCACAAGTTCGTCGCAAATTTGCGACGAAAAAAAATTCGTCGCAAATTTGCGACGGCACATAGTCCGTCGCAAAATTCGTCGCAAATATTCCGTCGCAAATTTGCGACGAACTTTGTCCGTCGCAAATATCCGTCGCAATTTCGTCGCAAATTTGCGACGAACTCGATCCGTCGCAAAATTCGTCGCAAATTCATCGCAAATTTCGTCGCAAATTTGCGACGAACTCAATCCGTCGCAAAATTCGTCGCAAAAATCCGTCGCAAATTCGCGTCGCAAAATTCGTCGCAAAATTTGTCGCGAATTTCGTCAGAAAATTCGTCGCGAATTTCGTCGCAAATTAGTGACAAACTTTAATGATAGCAAAATTCGGCTTAAAATATTCGTCGCTATTTTTATATCATTTCGGCCATAAATTCTTGTCCATATCAATCAAAGGAGACAATGATATATAATTGAAACAGAAAAACGAACAAACCATAAATTCTGACAAACCAGCCACAATGACATATAATTAAAATAAATAACAGAAGGAAAGTTGTAGAGTCTGACATGATACTATTTGATATCCAATCTTACAATACAGTCAAAACATGAACTAAGAGACGGGACAACCATATAAGACACAAAAAAACCATACAGAAGAAGACGCGGCTTTGGTACGATGGCAGGACACCAAATGTAGTCACTTTTGTCGAGACCTGAGGAAATGTCGATACATAAATCAGTCCAGAATATAAAAAAAGCATTTATGCATGGATGTGAAACTAGGTGTAAAATAACAAAAGGGTTAACAAAAATACGTTTCGGGACGAACATAAATGTTCTTACATATGAATATGAGTGAAATTATGAAAAACCAAGATTATGAAGCAAGCTTACCCCCGATTTTGAGAATTTTAACTAGAAAGACCGGAGAAAATCTTCATCATCATCATCATCAGCAACATTCTCGGCATCAATGTGTTGGTCATTATTGTACCCATCACCTACTGGATTGGCTGGAGGTACAGGAGGATCGGCATAGCGATTGATGTTAAGGTGTTGCATAACGATTCTCATTTGTTCTTCCAAGTTATGTATTCGTTCATCCTTCTTAACAAGTAAATTATTCAGACGAGTCACTTCTTGGGTCAATTGCTCGTCTGGTCGTGACCTCCTTCGACCAGTCCCAGTGGATGATGAACTTCCAGGACTATTCGGCATGTACATCCTTGATAAAGATCCCATCCCAAATATTTTCCCTTTTTTCGCCCCACCCGTTGCATCCATCCATAATGCCATATTATCAACTGGTGGCCGGGACTCAGGACAATCATCACTACCACTAGCACTGCTTATTAAAAGTTCATCATATTTTTCCTACATTAACAATGTAGATGAAAATAAAATCACTATATATATATCTACCAAAACTATTGAAAGCATTCACGATTTTCATTATAGTTTACATATAAGCCAAAGTATAACCTTACATACCTTAACAGCTTTTGCTCGATCGCCAGTCCATGTCTTATCTTTCTTTTGAAATGTGCGTTCAAATGTAGCTGCAAATGTCGGTTCCGACCCCAATTGGGATGCCTACAAAATGTAAACATGAGTAATTGAATTAAATTAACTTATAACTCATTTAACAGACTTACGGTCGTTTGCGATGCTCCGCAATGTTGATAGAGCCCCCAAAGCATATGTGGTGACCCATCACTAGAACTAGAAGATCGATTCTTCTTATTCTGCTCACAGAGTTGCCGACTCTGTTCAGATGCCCAAAATGTGTTAATTGCCTCCCAATTGTCAGCTGTAAAGAAAGACGGCTTCGCTTGCTTGCTCTTCGCTCTATTCATGATATTTCGCATAAAATCACTTATTTTCTTATCAAAAATTCTTCTCACTTCATTGTCTTCCGCTTCCTCCCACTTGAACTTCCGTTGCAATGAATAAAAACACAAATTGAAAATTATTATGATGATTACATATCCATAATCATGCACCAGACAAATATAGACAGATTTTGTAAAGTTCATGTTGGGGAAAATATCTGGTCCTTTAGGTATCGAAAACTACAGAGTTGTTCTGGTCCCTTTACATCATTCTTGACCATCAATATACTACACCACACGTAATTGGTGAGAAAATAAAATATGTAAAACTTACCTTGAACTCATTCCACCACATTTCTTTCACTTCTTGTGGAACATTTCTGTAAGTAATATACTCTCCCATCCAAAAGTTTCTTACTATTTTGTTCAATTCCTCACAACAGACGGAGCATCCGTGAATCGCATTCATATGAATATTTTGCAACATGGACAATTCAATTGACATCAATATCTAAAGCCCTAAATATTACATATACTAAATAAAAATGAAGTACTTACGAATCTCCAAATGGGCATATGAAGAATCGGTTATCTTCTTGACCTCTGTTTCCGTCAATATTCGATTGTTCCGCCGAATAATGGGGTGGAACGGAAGGAGAGGGAGCTAAAGGAGATTGAACTGGAGAATGTTCAGTTCGCATGTGGCCAAGTCTCGTAACATGTTGTTGAGTGTTCGAGGAAGGGCCAACGTGTCCATATTGTGACAGACCATACTGTGGTTGAGGGTTAGATGCCGGGACAGGGGAAGAGGAAAGGGACGGGGACGAGGACGAGGAAGAGCCTTGTCTTCTAGGCATGTGACCTCCACGTTTAAACTGACAAGTAGGAAGGTTATGCGAATATGTAAAGAACTATTGATACGTATTACGAACACATAATGATGTACATGACGAAGCTTACCATTTTGATGGAAAGACCGAGAAAATGTTTCCTTGAAATGAGCCAATGTCGAGTGTTTATGATGTGCAATTTCCTACAAACAAATATATTATGAATCTCATTCATTTTGATATGAAACATCAATGTATGAGCACGATTTGGGTGGGCTACAGGTATTAAACATCACTATATGAATCGCATTCATTTTGATTAAATTTTTTTTGACAATGTACAAAAATTTAAATTTCACTGAAAGTGGGTGGCCACAGGTATTCTAAGTCATTCTGTACAGTTTTGTAAGAAAAAAATTATTATTATTGCAAAAAAAAATTTTGGGCCCTAAAAAAAAATTTCACTAAA